CTTCGCAACCCAGCGCTCAACCACTGCGCCACCGGGGAGGCCCATGGGCAAATATTTTTTAGATATGATGCTAAGTACAACCCAGAAAAGAAGCTGATAACATGAATTTCAACAGTTAAAAATCCTGCTGTTTGAAAGATACTATAAAAAGAATGAAAAGAAGTCACTTAGTGGGAGGAATATTTTAAATCATATATCTCATAAAGGACTTGTTCAGAAGAATCTAGGAAATCTCATAATTCAATAAGAAGAATGTATTTTCCTTACCAAAATGGAAAAAAAAAGTATTAAAGATGTAAAATGTACATGAAGAAGTGAGCTATTACTACATACCTATGATAATTGCTAAAATAAAAAGCACAAAAACTGGAAACAACTAAAATGTCTATCAACAGATGACTGGAAGATCAGACTGCCATTTGGCCATACAATGGAATATTAGTCAGCACTAAAAAGAAATTAACTATTGATTCATAAGATAGCACAAATAAATTACAACATAAGTAAAATAGTCATATTACATATTAAAACAATACATATTATATTTCTTTTTTTTTTTTTCAGTCCTATTCCATGTATCTAGTTTACCTATTCTCTAATATGATTTTTTTTTTCCCCCCTTGGTGGTTCTGCACATTTTTTTTTTTAAATAATAAATTTTATTGTTATATTACCCATACAATTGCAGCCCCCCCATTCTGACCCCAATCTCTCCCCTCCCGCCCCCCATCCCCCAAAAAGTGTCTCAACAACTACTTATGCAACACCTACCATGCTTCAAAACAGTGACTAAAACAGACACAATATTTGCTTCATATAGAAATTTTTGTAAATATGTAATAGCCGATATGCATACTTTGATAATCTGGATAGCTGATTATCTCAACTCCAAAAAGAATGTTACTACTTAAAAAGTATTGCCATAATTAAGGTTTTCACACTCAAATTTTATTTATTTATTTATTTATAATAAATTTTATTTTTATATTCTCCATACAATTGCAACCCCCATTCTGATCCCAATCTCTCTCCTCCTGCCCCCCATCCCCCAAAAAGTGTCTCTGGTTCATAGTTTTTTGTTGATTTTGATTTTCACTTTCTTATAGTTATTCATTTTCCTGGTCCCTTATTTAAGTTCTCTAGATTCCTGCTATGAGTGAGACCATCCGGTATTTTTCTTTTTCTTTTTGGCTTATTTCACTGGGCATGATCCCTTCCAGCTCCATCCATGTTGCTGCAAATTGCATGTGTTTATCTTTTTTGAATGCTGAGTAATATTCCATGGTATATATGTACCACATCTTGATCCAGTCATCTATTTTTGGGCATTTTGGGCTGTTTCCAAAGCTTAGCTATTGTAAACAGTGCTGCTATAAACATAGGTGTGCAGGTGCTCTTTGGAATGGATGTTTCTGTGTCCTTTGGGTAAATACCTAGGAGTGGAATTGCTGGATCATATGGAAGCTCTATGTGTAGAAGGTCAAGAAATCTCCACACAGCTCTCCATAGTGGTTGGACCAGTTTGCACTCCCACCAACAGTGCAGGAGAGTTCCTTTTTCTTCACAACCTCGCCAACATTTGTTGTTGCTAGTTTTTGTAATATGTGCCATTCTCACTGGTGTAAGATGGTATCTCATGGTAGTTTTGATTTGCATTTCCCTGATGACAAGTTATGTTGAACATTTTTTCATATGCCTGTTGGCCATTTGCATTTCCTCTTCAGAGAAGTTTCTTTTTAGCTCTTCTGCCCATTTTTTGACTGGGTTATTTTCTTTGTTGTTGTTGAGTCTCATCAGCTCTTTGCAGATTTTTGTGATCAGTCCTTTATCATTAGTGTTGGGTGCAAAAATGTTCTCCCAGTTGGTGGGGTTTCTCTTTGTTTTTGTTATTGTCTCTTTTGCTGTGCAGAAGCTCTTTAATTTGATGTAGTCCCAGCTGTTTATCTTTGCCTTCACTATCACTGCTTTGGGTGATGTGTCTGTAAAGATGTCTTTGATGTGCAAATCCCGTAGTGTTTCGCCCATATTTCCTTCTATATATTTTATGGTTTCAGGTCTTATGTCTAGTTCTTTAATCCATTTTGAGTTGATTTTTGTGTATGGTGTGAGGTAGTGGTCAAGCTTCATTCTTTTGCATGTAGCGACCCAGTTTTCCCAGCACCATTTATTGAACAAACTTTCTTTGCTCCAATGCATAGTCTTTGCTCCTTTGTCAAAGATTAGTTGACCATAAATCTGTGGGTTTATTTCTGGATTTTCTATTCAATTCCATTGGTCTGTATGTCTGTTCTTGTTCCAATACCATGCAGTTTTGATGATTATGGCTTTGTAGTATAGTTTGAAGTCTGGGAGTGTGATGCCTCCATTCCCTTCTTTTTTTTTCAGGAGAGCTTTGGCTATTCGGTGTTTTTTGTGATTCCATATGAATTTCATCAATAATTGTTCTATTTCTTTGAAGAATGACATTGAAATTTTGATTGGAATAGCATTGAATCTGTAGATTGCTTTTGGAAGGATGGCCATTTTAATAATGTTTATTCTTCTAATCCATGAGCAGGGGATGTCTTTCCATTTCTTTGTGTCTTCTTCTATTTCTTTTAACAGTGTTTTATAGTTTTCTTTGTATAGGTCCTTTACCTCTTTTGTTAGATTTATTCCCAAATATTTGATTTTAGAGTACACATTTTTCTCAAGCGCACATAGATCATTCTCCAGGATCGATCACATACGGGGGCACAAGACAAACATCAACAGATACACCAAGATTGAAATCATATCAACCATCTTTTCTGACCATGAAGGCATCAAACTAGAAATAAACCATAAAAAGAAGGCAAGGAACTTTACTACCTCATGGAGATTAAAAACCACACTACTGGAAGACCACTGGACTAATGAGGAGATCAAAGAAGAAATTAAAAAATTTTTTGAATTGAACGACAAGGAGGACACCAATATCCTAAATGTATGGGATGCAGCAAAAGAAGTAATAAGAGGAAAATATATAGCAATAGAAGCTCACATCAAGAAACAAGAAAGAACTCAAAGAAACAACCTAATCTCGAAGCTCAAAGATCTAGAAAAAGAACAACAAAAAAACCCCAAAACCAGTAGAAGAAAAGAAATAATAAAAACAAAAGCAGAAATAAATGAAATTGAAACTAAAAAAACAATCCAAAAGATCAATGAAACCAAGAGCTGGTTCTTTGAAAAAATCAATAAAATAGACAAACCCCTAGCCAGGCTCACAAAGGAAAAAAGGGAGAAAGCACAAATAAACAGGATCATCAATGAAAGAGGAGAAATCACAATGGACACAGCAGAAATCAAAAGAATAATCAGTAACTACTATGAACAGTTATATGGAAACAAGTTTAACAATCTAGAGGAGATGGACAAATTCCTACAACTCTACAATCACCCAAAGCTAGATAAAGAAGAAATAGAACACCTAAACAGACCAATTACAAGCAGCGAAATTGAAATGGTAATCAAAAACCTCCCCAAAAACAAAAGCCCAGGACCTGATGGATTTACAAATGAATTCTACCAAACATTCAGAGACGAATTAGTGCCTATCCTTCACAAACTCTTCCAAAAAATTGAGAAGGAAACACGTTCTATGAAGCCAAACACGTTCTATGAAGCCAACATTACACTAATACCAAAACCGAACAAGGACAACACAAAAAAGGAAAACTATAGGCCAATCTCCCTAATGAACACTGATGCAAAAATCCTCAATAAAATTTTAGCTATCAGAATCCAACAATGTATCCATAAGATAATTCACCACGACCAAGTAGGATTCATTCCAGGGACACAAGGATGGTTTAACATCAGAAAATCAATCAACGTTATCCAACACATCAACAAAAAGAAATATAAAAACCATATGATAATATCAATAGATGCTGAGAAAGCTTTCGACAAAGTGTAACACCCATTCATGATAAAAGCCCTTGAAATTCTTGGGATACAAGGAACATACCTCAACATCATAAAGGCCATCTATGACAAGCCAACAGCCAGTACAATTCTCAATGGTGAAAAGCTGAAAGCAATTCCATTAAGATCTGGAACAAGACAAGGATGCCCACTCTCACCACTGCTTTTCAATATAATACTGGAAGTCCTAGCCAGAGCAATAAGACAAGAGAAAGACATCCAAGGAATCCAAATAGGAAAAGAAGAAGTCAAACTATCACTATTTGCAGATGATATGATATTATACATAGAGAACCCCAAAAACTCCACAGAAAAACTAATTCAACTCATCAGTCAGTTCAGTAAAGTGGCAGGATACAAAATCAACACGCAAAAGTCAGTAGCTTTCCTATACACAAACAATAAATCTGAAGAAGAAGAAATAAAAAAACCATCCCTTTTGTTATTAAAACAATACATATTATATTTCTTATAAAAATTCTACAAAATGCAAACAAATCTGTAGTGACAGAGAGTAGATTTAAATTCTAAATTTGTCTAATTCCAAATAGTTAGTAGTGGTGAGGACTGAAAATATTACTAAGATTTTTGTGTTGAATTAAAATATGTGCTACTTAGTTTTAGGAGAACATGTTTTTCAAAGGAAATTTTCCATTGAATTATCAGACCAGCTAAAAAGAAGCGTGGCTGAGTAGTTGAAAAGAAGTATAATCATTTTTTTGTTTCACTTTCTAGTTCACCTCACATTTTTTTTTTTTAAAGCCTCAGATGGAAAAAGTCTTTGGTTTGTTGGTTATTTAAAAATATCTGCCAAGTTGATTTTAGCCTATAATAAATTGGAACATGAGGTTTATAAAACAACCACAGTCACTAGCTTTTTCTCAATTGAGAAAAACATTGCAACAAATAACATGTTTGCTTAGAGAAATTAAGCAAAAAAAAAAAAAATTTGTGAGCTCGATAGCTTGAATAAATATAGCTTAAGTTGGGTGTTTTGTGCTCCCATGTGGTGCTTTTTTTTCACATTTCCTTTTCTTTTTTCTTCATTACAGACTCCCCCAGCTCCTTTCAGCATTTGCATCTTAAAAGATATTCCTATCTTCTTTGGTGAAAAGATAGCATTAGGAGGGACACTTTGAACTTTAAAACAAGAAAAGGTAACCATTCATCATGGACTTGGAATTTAAAAATAAAGTCATGGTAATGGAAGTGAAGAATTAAAGACTTAATAGTGAAGCAAGAGATCCCACAGATAAATTTTGCTTCTGTAACAATTTTAATGCACATCAAGGAAAAAGGCTGTGATTAATCCCCAAATTTAGTGTTGTAAAATAGTATCCAGCACTTATATATTCAAAATTCTGAATTTACGCCGAGTCGGCAGGGGTATAAGCTGGGCAGCTTGACCACTCCTGGAGGATCCACTTCCATGATGGCCTCCCTTACATTCCAGGCATTTAGAGTGGGAGCTGTAAGCTCAGGGCCAATGTATTCAATTCCCTGCATAACCTCTTCACATGGATAAATTTGGCTTCTTATAGAATGGTGGGCTCATGGCAGTTAGACTTTTTTTTTTTTTTTCAATATAAATTTTTTTTATTAAAAAAATTTTTTTACATCGTTGTTCATTTTTATACAATATTTACTTCCCCCACCCCCTCAGGTTTAGTCCCCATAGTTTCCTTCACCAGTGCTTCCGTGCACCATCACCTCAGTCCCCTGTGCTCCTCCCTCGCTCCCTTTCTTTTTTTTTTTTTTTTTTTAGTTGCCTTACTGTTTTTTTTTTTAAATATTAAATTTTATTTTTATATTCCCCCATACAATTGCAAACGCCCCATTCTGACCCCAATCCTTCCCCTCCCGCCCCCCACCCCCCAAAAAGTGTCTGGCAGTTAGACTTTTTATATGGTGGCTAACCTTCCCCAGAGCACAAAAGGCACTTCCATACCATTAGGCCAGATTTGGTCTAGTTGATCTTAAGCAATTCTACATCTCCTCTGCATCATTGTTCAAGATGTCTCCTCTTCTTACAATGTCTTTCCTAGGCCTTGTTGCTAATCCACCTTTTATACTTCCTTCACCATCCAGCACAGGAGGACTTCATGAAAACTTTCCTAATTTTTCCATATTGGTATGGTAGTGCTTTGTTTTGCAGTCTCTTAACTTTTAATATTTATACTATTCACGTCTCACTGAACTTATGCTATCTTATATTATTTAGTTCCCTACAGATAGCATATCCTGTCCCCACAACACATGCCATGTCCTTGAAGACACAAAGCCAGGCTCATATCTCTATGTCACGGTGCCCATCATGTAACATAGTGGGCTAAATAAAAATTAACAAGAATGGTGGTATGCTGTGGAGTTTTAGTTCTTTTTAGGAGGTAAAATTTCACTTGAAGTTATGAATGTCTTAAACTTACAAAGGTACATTTAAAAAAAAATAGATTTGAGAGGATGTTTATCTGTACTACCAAAGAATTTAGATTACTCATTAGGTATAATGAATTTGGATCATTTATATTATCACATCTTTTTAAAAATCTTTTTTTTCCCCACTTCATATCTCTTAGTGTTTCTCACTGATCTTAAGAAGCAAAGAGTTTTTAGAATGCTCAGCATCAGAAAGGTAAGCCTCAAAAATGCAAAGATAAAACTAGTTAGCATGGAGATAATGAGTTGAAATGTTTACTAACCTAATTGTCTTTAACCAGAGAGAGAACTAGAAAAGCTTTAATACCATTCTTTTCTGAACCACAATAGTTCTATCAACACAGATAGAATTGTAATCAACACATTGACTGATTTTTCCCTCTCCAACTCTGTGTGTTTGCCACTATTATGCCTAGGAGGATAATAAGTGTACATATATATAAATGTACATAATATGATATAGTGAGGGAGCAAAACTGGTGCAAGTAAGAACTTGACAAGATATGAGTTGGATTTGTAAAACAGTGAATTCAACTCCCAAAATGTTTTGGCTTACATATGTGTCAGCATCTTCAGAAGTAGTTTCTTTTCAGGACACTGCAGTGAGTTCAGTTTGAAAAAGTTTCTGAACTTTTTACTCAAGGTAATGAGCCAGTTAATAGGAGAGTGGGTTTTGTGTAGGAAGCAATTACCCCGATTGATAGGAAACTTGAGAAAATGAGCACAAGCTTTAATGAGATCGGCAAAAAGGTCATGTGTCTGCAAGTTGAGATGGAGTAAAAAGGAATGATGGTGAGAAAAATCGTTAGAGACAATACCTTGGAAATAAAAATATAATGTCATTGAATCTTACTTTCTAAAGGGCCACAGAATTTATTGAAAAATGAGATCTCTAAATATATGGGAGTCAGGAATCCATGGTTCAAATTGGAGCTTTCTTAATGATTTAGGCCTAGTCTAACTCAATATAGTGATAAAATGTTTTTATAGAATAAATCATTATATACTGATACATAGTTTTGTTTATGCACATTTTTGGAAAGAGCAGGGCATGGGCACTGTTTCCATTTCCTCTTCTCTATTTCACTTCTCAACCCACTACAATCTGGCTTCCACCCCCACCACTCTACTGAAATTGCTCAGAGAAAGGTCAGCCATAATGTGACTGTCAAATACACTAGCCTTTTTCAGCTCTCAGCCTCCCAACAGAATTTAGCATTTTTGATCACTTCTGTCCTTGTGAAGACACAGTTATCTCTTATTCTTCCAATATGTCTGTTTCTGCTCTTTTATTTTCCTCCACTTTTGGCTCTTCCGCTAGTTTTCCAAGGGAGCTACCATCTTTTTCACTTTACATAATTGTCCTGAAATAATCTCATGAAACCCTAGAATTCCAACTATTTATTACCTATGAGTCTTTCAAAAGTTGTTTTCTCAACAATTTCTTGAGTTTTGGATCTGTCATTCAATTTATGGCTCATTTATTTCCATTCAAACCTTGTTGCTTATTTCCTGTTTCCTATGTCTTAGCTATCAACAAACCATTGCTCAAGATAGAAATCTTTGAGTGATCTTTTCTTTTTTTACCTTTCCTCACTGCCTGTATCAAAGTCTTGTCCATTCAATCTCTGAAATTTGTCTGGTATCCAAGCATGCCTTTTTATTGCTACTAGTGCTGTCCAAATCCAGGTTTTTAATGTTTTTTTGCTTGGCATATTTTTTTAGTATTTCCTAACTGGACTCTGTCTCTGAATCTGGTTATTCTCTGTTCCCATCTATTTTTTTTTATATTGCTACTATAGTTATCTTTTGAAATGATGGGCTTGATTATGTTCTTACCATGTTTTAAAAATTCTCTCTGTCTGAATGGATTGAGGGCTGTTTGTCTAATCTCTACAAATACTAACTTCTGGGCCTCCCCTGGTGGCATAGCGGTTGAGCAGCAGTTCGATCCCCGGCCACCAGGCGAGGGTCTCACATAGCACGCAGACCTCTCTTGCAGTGCCCACTGCTCCCCTCAGCAGTGTGTTTCGTCAGTCTGCCTGTTCTGTTCCCCGCTCTGGCTCTGGTGAATTCTCTCACTCTCCCGTGCTACTGACTGTACCCAGTGCTTGTATAAATAAATAAATACATCTTTAAAAATATATATTAACTTCTATGTGCTTGGCTGCTAATGTGTAGCTATGGACCTCCAGACCTATTTATTCAATGCCTTCCCACTCCTCAGCCATCATTGGTTGAAACAGGAATAGTCACACCTAAAGTGAGTCAGTCACTTTCCCTCCTGTGAAAAAAAGACTTATGGGCTTTAATTAGTGCGATGTAAGCATTGGTATATAATGCTTTGAAATATGCCTAGGTGATTCTAATGTGTAGCACTCATTTAGAATGATTGCTGTAGAATGACACACTTCTTTTTGCCTTAAAAATAATCACACAACAGAGGGCGGCGAAGAGACGCTGCGAGTAAGATCTCCCATTAAAAAAAGTTAATAGGGAGGAAAAGCAGCAGGGCCCAGAGAGAACTGGGACACGGAAGATAAACGGGTGACTCCAGCAAACTACCCGAAGAAGAAAGTGGCCATAAAAGAGGACTAGAAGGGAGGGAAGCGCAGAACCCTGCTCCCCTCCCCCGCCCACAGAGGCGGCACTATCCGACCAGCAGAGAGGAGGAAAACAACACACTAAAACGACCGACAAGAACAAACGACGCAGCAAGCAGGACTGGGAGTGGAAAGGAACTATTGCAGCCACCACACCCCGTGAACGGGAGCTGAGGCGAACCCCGCAGGATTCGCCGCGGCGGTGAGCGAACGGCTCCTGGCGCCATTAGAGAAGAACAAAGACCCCGGGAGACGCGCACACAGCCCGGGCTGCCGGTAAGCTTGTGCGGGAAAGCGGCACGCTTGGCGAGCTTGAAAAGAAAACGCGGACCGGGATCTCAGCGGCCCAGGTCCCCGCGCCTGCGACCTAGGCTTGCGGGGAGACGCGCGGAGGTCCTCACTGAGGTGAAGGTCCCTCCCTGAGTAAGCAGGAACCAGGCACCCAGGCACGGGAGCCGGGTGCAAAAGGCGCCATTCCCGCGCCACTGAACTGGGCTACAGCCCGCGTCCTGGACCTGAGGGCTTTGAACTGAGACCCGGGGCATGAAATTAGGGGCGTGGGTTCCCCACGACGGTGGGGCACAAGGCAGACACAGCACCCCAAAGCTGTTGAGGTGTACCCTACCATTCCCGCTCTGTTCCCTGTCCCACGGGGTGGGGGGGGGGGCGAAAAACAGCCCCCCAAGGACAATAGGAGAGATCTCTGGCGCCACCTAGCGACCAGGAAAAAAAAGTCACTAACACCCCATAGAACAGGAAATTTCTTAAGACTGCTTGAAAAGGGCAGAAGGCTTCTGGAGGACCCAGTGGCCAGCCGGGAAGTTAGCCCACCCCACGCCAGGCCCCTTCCGACCAGCAGTCTGAGCCCACAGAGGGAGCAGGCACCCAAGTCCGGGGCAGACCGGGGGCGCAGAAGAGTGTGCCTGAAACCGGAGGCGCAGGGACTGCATCCCGCTTTGCCATTTTAGAACAGGGACATTTCTTCAGTAAAAACTGCCTAAAACCAGCAGAAAGCTCCCCCAGAAGACAGAGATGGCTCCTGGAAGAGCCAGAGGGGAGCGGAGAAGTTCACCCAAGATGCCAGTCAGTCCGAGCAACGCAGTGTCCCAACGCATACGACAAATTAGAAAACAGACAGTAGGGAGTAGAAGAACCACATGCAACCTAACAACTCCTCAGGAAAGAAGCACACCACAAAAAGAAAACCACTCCCCAGATTGCAACGACAGCAACTTGGAAGAACTTCTGAGCCTTCCAGAAAGAGAATTTAAAATTGCCATGATTAAAAAAGTGATAGATCAGAAGAAGGAAATAGAGTCCCTAAAGAGGGAAATAAAAGAAATGCAGGAGATCAAAGAATTAATGGAGGAACTAAAGAACTCTGGGAAAAGCAATGAAAGCAGAATAGATGAAATGGAAGAACGAATAAGTACTCTTGAAGACACAGAAATAAAAAGAACCAAAACAGAAAGAAAAGAGAGAGTACGAAGGAAAAAGAATGAAGAAAGACTTCGGGAACTATCTGACTCCATGAGGAAAGGAAATATAAGAGTTATAGGAATTCCAGAAGGAGAGGAGAGAGATGTAGGAACAGAGAAAATATTCCAGGAGATAATTGAAGAAACTTCCCAAATGCGAAGAAGGAGCTGAAAATTGATATACAAGAAGCAAGAAGAACACCAAACTTCCACGACGAAAGGAAAAACACAGCAAGACACATAATAGTAAAGCTCCCAAGAATCCAGGACAAGGAAAAAATAATGAAGCTGACAAGAGGGAAGACACAGATAACATTCAAAGGAAAACCAATCAGGCTGACATCAGACTTCTCTGAAGAAACACTACGGGCAAGGAGAGAGTGGAGGGACATAGTCAACAGACTTCAAGAAAACAGATGCCAACCAAGAATACTCTATCCCGCAAAGCTCTCTTTCCTCCATGAAGAAAGAATATGGACCTTCCCAGACAAAGAGAAACTCCGGAATTTCATTACGAATAAAACCCCCACTCCAAAAAATACTACAAGGAATCCTAAAGCCAGAACCTCAGAGGGACGAATAACAACGAAAGAAGACCAGAAAAAAAAAAGTTATTAAAAGAATAAATAAATAAAATCAAAAGAAAGACAAACATAATGGCAAATACAGATGCTAACATATCAATATTAACTCTAAATGTAAATGGACTAAACTCTTCAATAAAAAGACACAGAGTTGCAGCCTGGATTAAGAAACAAAACCCAACCTTTTGCTGTCTCCAGGAAACACATTTAGCTACAAAAGATAAAAATAGGCTCAAAGTCAAAGGATGGAAAACAATCCTACAAGCAAATGGGCCAAAAAAGAAAGCAGGAACTGCTATACTTATATCAGATAAAACAGACTTCAAACTCAAAAAAATAAAAAGAGACCCCATTGGTCACTACATTATGATCAAGGGGACAATACTTCAAGAAGAAATAACACTCATTAACATATACTCACCAAACGAAAGAGCACCAAAATATATCAGACAACTGTTGTCCTCTCTGAAAACAGACATCAGAGAAAACCATACGTAGTGGGAGACTTCAACACACCACTATCAACAATGG